GTTTGAGATGATGTGCTACTATGCATTATTATATGCATAATAAAGCGGAGACTTCACCATATCTTTTTCTTTTTATAAGAACTTCTGATCAGATCACCAGTTACCGCAAACCTTCTCATAAATTATTCCAAGTTTCAGATTTTCAATATTAAAATGTTAATTATTCAAAATCTATCAAAAAAATCAAAAAATTTTATAATGTAGAAAATATTCCAGTTAATTAAATTTTGTTTTTCTCCAATATTTACATATTTCTGAGGTTTCACTGCCATACGATAAGAATTTTATTCAATATCAAAGGATCGAATTATTAATCCAAGAGGATAGATCGTTTAGACTATAAAAATAAATTCTTTTTTAATCAGAAATATTTATTTTTACGGCGGCCCTAAAACCTGGAACATATCTCACATCATATCTATCGTCATTTCTGTCATTTTTCACAATGTTTTTCTGCATGGCTCCAAATTTTTTTACGCAGAAATCAAATGTTTCTGACCTATTTCGACAAAACTAACTTTTGTCACTACTGCTGAAAGGAGTTTTTTTAATTAAAATAAAGGTCAGGTTGGGTCAAATTATTATATTTTTTAATATTGAATTACATTTCTTTTTTTTGTCTTCGGGCTTGTAAATGTCAACCACCATGACTTCACGTTACTAATTAATATACGAATCCTGTTAAATAAAGAAATTTCTGTTTTCAAAGGTTCTTGAGAAATTAAAAAACCTCATTGTTTAGTTTAGTTTCTTTTAGAAACCAATAAAACTTTTAAATAAAATGAACTTTATGTCTTGCTTCAAGAACTAAATCCTCGTGCCATAAATGTACCGCATTCGTAATGTACCTAAGTAACTATATTATTTACGATTGTTAACTTGAATGGTCATAAATTTATGCGACAATGAGAATGTAATTAGGATAAAATGGTGAAATTAGACTAAATTTTATGATGAAGCTGTAAATCAGAAGCTTCAAAAAGGTCGACTTCTAGTAGATGTTTTTTTTGTTGGGAAATTTTACTATTTTGCCATAAATCATTCAAATTTTATGATTTTTCTTTACAAATTGTGTAAGATGACAGAATGCAGATTTCTTTTGGCCCTAAATTTGTGGGTAGGGCCCAGTTACCGTTTTTAAATGTATTTTTTAATTTGAAGATTAGATTTTAACTACAGAAAAAATATTATATCATGTACTGCTTGCTTTGAGAAGGAAAGTTGTGCAAAGGATTTTTTGTTTTATTCAAAATTGAAACAACCTTTTTTCTTATATCTTATTCATCAATTTTCCATTAGTATAGTTGATCTTCTATGTAGTGGACACTTTAAGATGTAGATAAACATTTTACAGAGAGCCAAATCTAGAATTTAGGATTGTTTCAAATTTTTTTATTAAAAACTCATAGAGTAGTTAAGCTTTGCCAGTTTGGGTCTAACTGTTAACTCGGGCAGTTTTCATTGATTTTACATCTTTATCTTAATGTATTCTGAGCGCCTATTTGTTACAAGCTATGCACTTCAAGATTTACTCTTACGATTATGTGACAACTTATTTAAATATTTCCACGACTTGAATTATGTGTTTCAATGCACATTTGCTTCATTTTCCTCCAACACAATATCGCTAATTAAATGGAATGAAAAATTTCAGTGTGCGAGGTAATTCCGTCAAGTCCTTCAGTCCCCTTCTCTTTCTGAATAAATTACATTACTTAATTAATAATTGCTATTATAAATTTATCATTTAATCTAGTTATGACAAGCTAATTCACTGTTAATTCGAGTGCATTTAGGTTGATTGAAACTTCCCGTTTTTTCCTTATTTACCAGTTCACGTTAGAAAATGTAATTAAAATTCCATCTATGTTCCCATTCAACGGTACACGTCGTCAAAAATGGGATTAATAGTGCATTTTCCCGTGATGTAATAATCATAATGCATTTTCTAGGGTGGAGCCACTTTATTTCCCTAACGATGCAGTGTTTACGTTCGTGAAATTCTCTAAATACTACTAACGACCACTACATGAATAACAATTAGCGATAAATGTTGCTCAAGTTTGAAGAATTCCGGATAAAATCGCAGTCGATTATGTCTGTTGGAGCGGTTGTAAGAGTCGTCGATGTTATTTGCTCGTATGTAGGAGTTCTTGAGAGCCGACAATGCGTATGTACTGTGTTCGACTTTAACTTATGGAGATTTGATTCAATGCTAAACAGCGTAATGTTATTGGAGCGAATACGTATCATATACAAAAGTTTTTACGGCCCGGAGTAACGTGCACGCTCTCCGGTGTATTTAAATGGACCGGAGTCGGTCGTGCCGGATTTTTATTTGTTCTTAGATTCGAGGACTAAAAGAATTGTCTTGCTAGGACAGTACACGAAAATAACGTGAACATATCTCAAGGGAAAAAAATCTGTAGCATTAGCTACATGAAAAAAAATACAATAAATTTTGTATTATTTTGTCCGTATTTACGGATTTATCGTCAGTCTAAAAGGACCATAATTTTAAAAAGAAATTATATTATAAAAATAACAATCAAAAAATGTTGTTTATAACAAAGTTAAGAATTTTATCAATAAATCAACTTTTCATTTAAAACATTGGTAACAATTAATTCAAAGGAAAGAAATCTATGGCTATATGAAAAAAATTCATAAATGCATTGTTTTGTCCGCATTTACCGATTTACGGCCACTCTAAGTTGTTCATAATTTTACAAAAAACTTATATTTTAAAAACAACAAGCAAAGAATTTTATTTGTAACAGATGATAGATATAAATAAAATTTTCAATATAAAAACTTGGAAACTCAAAGTGAAGAAATTTATATCTATATGAAACAAATCTATAAATTTTGCATTGTTTTGTCCATACATTCCTTTTTGAAGGGCTTATAAATTAAAAAAATCTTATATCCTAAAAATGACTGGCAAAAATTTTTATTTATAACGGATGAGGTTTAGAATTTTTATCAATAAATCAAATTTCAATGAAAAAATCGGTAGCAATTAATTCAAAAGAAAGAGATCTATAGCCACATAAAAAAATATAACTTAATGCCTCTTTGAAGGACTCATAATTTTATAAAAATCTTATATTCTAAAAATGACAAACACAAAATTTCGTTTATAACAGATGAGGTTTAGAATTTTTATCAATAAATCAAATTGCAATATAAAAATCGATAGCAATTAATTCAATAAATAGAAATCTGTAGCTACATGAAAAAAAAATTATATATTTTGCATTATTTTGTCCGCATTTACAGATTTTGCGCCAATCTAAACTTTACAAAGAACTTATATTCTAAAAATAATAACAAGTAAAAAATTTTGTTTAGGTATAACAAACGAGGTTAACACTTTTATCAAAAAATCAAATTTGTAATTAAAACATTGGTAACAATTAATTCAAAGGAAAGTAATCTATTAGTGTGTGAAAAAACTTAATAAATTTTGCATTATTTTGTCCGTATATCCAGATTTTGCGTTACTGCCACTCTAAAGTATTCATAATTTTACAAAAACTTATTTTTTAAAAACGATAAGCAAAAAATTTCATTTATAATTTATAGCAGATAAAGTTAAGAATTTTTTTCAATAAATAAAATATTTATATAAAAAATTGGAAACTCAAAGAGAAGAAATTTTTATCTACATGAAAAAAATCATGAAATTTTACATTGTTTTGTCCATACATTCCTCTTTGAAGGGCTCATCAATAAAAAAAATCTTATACCCTAAAAATGACAGGCAAAAAATTTCATTTATAACAGATGAGGTTTAAAATTCTCATCAATAAATCAAATTTTGAATGAAAAAATCGGTAGCAATTAATTCAAAGGAAAGAAATCTAAAACTACATGAGGAAAAAATTATAAATTTTACATTATTGTCCACGCAGTATACAGTTTTGCATTACTGCGACTCTAAAGAGCTCATAATTTCACAAAAACTTAGTATATTCTAAAAACGAGAAGCAAAAATTTTTTATATGTAACAGATGAGGTTAAGCATTTTTATCAATAAATCAAAGTTTCAATAACAAAATTGGTAGCAAGTAATTTGATAAGTATCTAAATGAATTAACGCAGGAGATATATTTTTTTTGTTTGTTTTAGTTACTTACGATTTAGCCTATTTCTTAGTGTAAATAATGCTTATTTTAAGCTACTCGTATTTCAATGCAGAAAACGCAAAAATTTCTTTAGTTGAATTCTTTGTCATTTTAACATTTGGTAAATTTTTTAAACTTTTAACTGTCAAAGGATTGGTTTGGAGCGCTGTAAAAGTGCTTCAGAGCTTACACCTGACATATGGGAGCAATGGGTAATCTGGTAGTCATATTACCACATCCATGCAATAATTTTCTGAGCGAGATTGATCCCATATGGGAGACGAGTAGTTGAAGACATCCATCAACAACAAAAACGTGTGCTTATTTTTAATGACTCATTTTAAGCAGCTTCTAAAAATTATCGACTAGACTAACGAAACAAGTCTTCTCTTTTATTTCTTATTTTGGTTTTAATTTTTTTTGGATTTATTTGCAAAAAAGACTAACCTGGAGGAATCTTCACAAACTACTTTGATAATCTTTTTTCTCGGTTTTATCTACTCACCAGTATGTTTACTCCACTACAGAGTTTATTTTAAGTCAAGTATTTCAATGAAAAATATCGATGGAATTCATTGTGATGGTTTAAATTTGACGTAAGAACAACATTTGGAGAGTAAACACTACAATGTCAATTTAAACATTGATACACCTGTCCAAACCATGTTTCTACATCAGTTTTGGTTTCTTTAATCTTTCAGTAAAACCAACACACATTCCATCATTTGCGATTAAGTGAATGTGAATATTGTTATCATAAAAAAATCAAAAATTTCCTACGCGGATATCATTTTGCATGTGAAGGGGCTCGTCTCGTATCCGAAGAATTCCATCCAACATTAATTAACGTCATTTTCTTTTCCATTTCAGGTCGGAGACCGCCTTTTCATCGGTTCGCCGGGCAGTTGGTATTGGCAAGGTAAAGCTTCCTCCTTTTCATCAATTTACTTAGTGTTTCCTTTCAAGCTTCTTGTTCTGTTTTACAGGCTTCTAGTTGAAATAGCGCGCCAGATTTTAGTTTTTTTATCAATTGTTGAACCGATGAAATTTATTGTTTACATTTGCACAATTGGTGTGTTTCAGGACAAATGTATTCCGTTGATGCTCACGCCACGTTTGAATTTAAACCTACGCTATTCTCCGCGACCTACGGCGCTGAAGGTATTGAAAGCATAAAACATTTAAAAACAACAACAAACAAACAAAACAACAACAAAGCTCATAACTAAAATTAATGTAGCGATTCGGTGCAGGAAAGTGAGAGTCGCTATACTAATTAATGCATAATCTAAATTAATTTCAATTAATCGTATAACCGTTTAACAAAATCGAGCCGGATTAAAACTATAGACAGCAGATGGTCATTTAACACTTCATCTCTTCATCACTGCGAGGATTCATCCGCTTTACTGGCGACAAACAACACAATTTTTAGTTTTCAGGTTTAGTTTCAGCTAAGGGGATCAGCAACGCTTCAGTAACATATTAATTTTTGTATTAATGTTATTAAATCGGTGAAAAACGTGGACGTTTTAGGGTGGATTTACGCCATTTTCACAACAAAACACTAAACAACATTTTTTCTTCTCCTCTAATTTTCTATTTGTTTCACGATTTTCACCATTTACGCATTTTCTCAATACTTAAAAATTGTTTTTTATTTTTTTTCCCTAAGTTCATAAATATTTTTACCTTGGTTTTTAATCTTTACATTTTTTTGATTATTATTATTAATAAACACGAATAATGCAGAAAACTGTTCAAAAGTTTGGAAATAATTTAATAATTATTATACATATTTTATACAGAATTTTTATCTAAATTATTTGTTAATTTTTATTTCTTTTTTAGTTTCTTTAAAAATTTTATTTTTTTCTTTACTATACAGGTGTTTTCACATTGTCCCTACTGTTTTTAATAAACATATCTATTAATGTTCCAAAAAGAAAAAAAAATGGTTTCAGTTCTCCCAATAGAAACTCAAAGTATTTGGAAACATTTTTTTTTGTATTCTAACTTAAGTTAACTTTTTTCACTTTTTTGTATTTCTTACTTTTTTTGTTTTTTAGATTAAATATGTTTCAAATTCGGTGGAAGCATCCTTTTCTCAAAGTGGGGCTTTTTAATATGAATAACGAAGGGTAAATAAAAAATTCAAAGTCAATCCCACAGGTTTGAATTTAACTTCGATTAAACCAAAAAATATATTTTTTTCCAAAATTTAAACAAGTGGTGTCTGTCGTCTTCTTGTCTAATAAAATTTCTCTAAATTGCCTTTTACTTTCTTTTTCTTCCTAAGTTCATAGACATTTCTTTGAATATTATTAATAAACACGAATAAACTTCTAAATAATTGTAATACATATTTTATACGGTATTTTTATGTAATTATTTCTTAATTTTTATTTCTCTTTTAATTTCTTTGTATTAGTTCTATTAAATATTCTTCACTATTTTTTTAAAAACCTATTTTTTTCTTTACTAAACAAGTGTTTTCACTTTGTACCCACTGTTTTTAATAAACATACAGGGTGTTAAAAAAGACTGTAAAATATTTCAGTATAGATCAAAACAAACAAAAAAGTCCGCAAAGTAACGGTTTCGGAGATATCGAAAATTGTTCATTTTTTGAAATATTTATTTGCAATCTGTTCAAACAAAACGTGCGATCAAAAAAAATAAATTAGAGTAGGCGGTGATTAAAGTTCTTCAGATGCGAATCCTGATTTTTGACATCAAAAATCAGTGGAAACTTTGACAAGTGAGCGTTTTATTCATTTTGAGTGAAATAATGTTCACTTTAGAGCAGAAAACTTGTATTGCTGCAAGTTATTACAAAAATGTTGTACAAGACGAATGGTTATTTTCACTTTCAGTTTGTGTGGAAAATTTCCAGCCCAGATTCCCAGCCAACGTGTTGCCAACTGTAGAATAGTTAAGACTTTTGTTTATTTTGGTCCATACTATTACCTCCTTAAATATTTTAGAATCTTTTTTAACACCCTATACACTACTATACAGGGTGCGCCAGATCACGCGCCCCAGAGAAAATTTTCAAGTAAGGTAAGATACCAGGAACATGAAAAAAATGTTTAAAAAATTCCATCTGTCAAAAATTTTTGACAAATGACATTTTATTATATCTATTTAATGATACTGATGATATTGTATATGTTTTTTTACAATTATTTAGTAAAGGGACAAAAATTTAGCCAATAAAAGCCACAAATAACATTGAACAGAGTTACAATTTAGGATACAGCTTCTTTGTTTCCTCTTTTAATAGCCTATAGCAAAAAAACTTGGAAAATTATTTTTCTAACAGAAATAAAGTCAAAGTGCAAACTTTAAACCCTCATAACTTCGAAATTTTTATAGATAATTTTTTTTTTAACATTTTTTCCATGATCCTGGTATCTTACTTTATATAGCATTTTTCTCTGGGGCGCGAGTTCTGGCGCATTCTGTATGTTGGTGTTACAAAAAAAAATGGTTTCAGTTCTCCCAATAGAAACTCAATGCATTTGGAAACATTTTTTGTATTTTAATTTAGTTAACTTTTTTCACTTTTTTCTGCATTTCTTATTTCTTAGATTAAATATTATTTTTCACATTCGGTGGAAGGTTAAATAAAATTCTAAGTCAATCCCACAGGTTTAAATTACCCATCGTTATTCATAAATATTTTTCATTCTATTTAAAAAAACAATATAATTTTCACTCACTGTTATTATAAAAAACAAACTGTGTTAGAAGTATTGGTAAAGAAATCATTGGAGCCCAATAGAGACCTAAATGTTTGGAAGCATTTTTCTGACACTGAAATTTTAGCTAAACACTTTTTTCCCAAGTTAAAGTTAAAGTTATTTCTGTAACACCTGTATGTAGGAAGGTTCTTGTTTCACATACACGAAATTGTCTTCTTCACATTTATTGTAGCAAAGTTTCATTTCATTTATTTCACACTTATCAAAGTTTAATCACCCATCCACCCAAATATCCACGTTTTTGCATTTCACTTACCCCAACCTCGTCAAAGGTGTCGGTAAACCGTTAATCACACAGGTAAACCATTAATCCGAAACCGAGTAATCCATTAACTCGTCACCATTTGCCTCTTCCTCATCTGACCAAAGAGCTTCCTTCCAGGCCAAGTCCACCAACAGAGTCTCGAAACGCGCCCTGCAGTGTTCGCCACCACCGAGGGTACGGAAAAAGACGACGACTCCTACATGGGTTACTCGACCATCGTGGGCGACTTTCTGGGTAATGGCGAAGAAGGCATCGCTGTGGGTATGCCCAGAGGGAACAATCTCAAAGGAAAAGTACTCTTGTTCACCATGAATCTCACCAACTACGTTCAACATTTCACCAGTGACCAAATCGGGTCGTACTATGGGTATGCCCTCGCGGCTTGCGATGTTGATGGTGATGGTAAACTGGATTTGATCGTGGGGGCACCCATGTACACAGTGCAGAATAACAAAGACAAATACGATGTGGGCAGGGTCTATGTTATCTACCACGAAAGCGATAGGGTAATTAGGGAAAATGATTGGGGCGTTTTTGACTGTGTCTTGTAGGGTAGATTTGTCGCCAACTATGTCATCGATGGGTTCAATTCCAAATCCAGGTTTGGGCAAGCTGTAGCCTCACTCGGAGATATCAACCAAGACGGATTCGGAGGTACTCCTGGTACCACAAAATTACAAATTTCACAAATTTGAAAATTGTAGATTTCGCAGTCGGGGCCCCCTACGATGGTACTGAAAATCGCGGTGCTGTCTACATCTACCATGGTTCGAGCAAAGGAGTACGCAAGAAGTTCTCTCAAGTCATTTTCGCCGAAGATGTAGCCGTTTCCTTAACAACTTTCGGATTTTCCATAACCGGAGGAATGGATTTGGACAATAACCAATATCCAGACATGGCTGTTGGTGCTTATGAATCCAACAAAGCTTTCTTCTTCAGGTTGGTACTCTTGTTGCCTAATTTTAGTACAATTTGTGTCTTTAGAGCGCGTCCGGTCATCAGTGTTGAAGCTTCAGTCAAGTTTCTCACCCATAACAAGTTCATTGATATCACTAGTCCTGATTATACCCTTCGAAGTGATGGTAGTACTGCGACCAAGACCCAAATCCAGTTCTGTAGCAGGTACTATGGAAAAGGAATACCAAACTCCCTAAGTACGTCAATAGATTATTTAGAGTGTTTCTTTCTCACATGGAAATTGTAGATTTGGGTGTTGAGTACATTTTGGACTCGAAGAAGTTGATCAACTCACGAATGGGTTTCGTGGATGATGAAGGGCAAAGCAGGAAAAATGCGACAATAACAATGTTGAAGGGACAAGACTTGAAATGTACAAATCCTATCGACGTTTATGTCAAGGTAAAAACTAATTCGACGATCGAGTTTGTGTTTGACTTTTTTTTTAGAGCGAAATCCGCGATAAACTCACCGCTTTGGTGGTCGAAGCTAGATACTGGATGCGAGACGACCGAGACCTCACACCCTCAAACCTCCAACAACTACCTCGCAACCCCCGTTCATTCCTCACACCAGTCCTCGACCTCAACTCACCCCCATCCAAGAAAGATTCAATCAGCATACAAAAGAATTGCGGTTCAGATAACATCTGTATCCCGGATTTGGTTATTTCCGTAACACCGTAAGTAACAAACTCGTTTCAAATTTCTCCTCAATATCTTCATTTCCAGGAGCGTCCAAGAGTACTACTTGGATTCGGGCGAAAACTTTTATTTGAACATTTCCGTGACAAACAATGGAGAAGACGCATTCGAATCAACTGTTGAAGTTAAATACCCCGACGGCTTTTTCTATATTTCCAGTCAGGATATCCAAGTGGTGTCGCATGTGTTGTGTAGTGCGTCCGAAAACTTCACCATCAAGTGCGATATTGGTAACCCAGTGCCTTCTAACAAAGTCGTTCACTTTAAACTCCTGTGGCAACCCAACTATGCCAAAGAACTACCTTCGAATCTCTTCTTTGAGGTTGCTGTCAATAGCACCAATGAGGATTTACCCGAAACTCGGTACAATAACAAGCAGAAAATCGGGATTTCGATTCTTTATGATGTGATACAAGAAATTCGGGGATGGTCAATACCCAACGAAGTTTTATTCACTCCGAGTTCGTCTCTCTACGCCGCCGACATCTCCAATCAGACTCATCGCACCTCACCTGAAAACCGCCTGTCTGAAGACGTGATCGGTCCTCAGGTTTGTAATGCCTTTTTTTCTTATATTTATTCTTTAAACCGGGCGCCACCAACTTTTCCTAAAAGTTAGAAAAGAACTATTTGGAGATGTTATATAGGTCTACATTACATAAGAGTGCCTTTCCGACCAGCTTTTATACAGTGGAGAGGAATGGGGAGGTTCGATTTAATTAAACACAGGTGATTGAAAAGAGAAATTTATTGAGGAACTATAACAACAGATAAAACAAGTAATTTTACAAAGAAATTCTAACTTGGACCTAGTGAACCCTAGCCCTTAGAGAAGAGGTCCTCCGTGGGTGAATTTGAGGGGAGAAGTCCCGTCGGTTGTTTTTCCTGAAGAGGTCCAGGAAATGATACCACCTGGAAGAAGTCCCAGATGTTAAGCCCTTACCACGGAAGAGATCCCGTGGCCCGTGTCCAGTGATGAACTCGGCTCCCAGAAGATGTCCTGGGGTAGGTGTGGTTTAACGACGGAAGAAGCTCCCGTCGACCGTATTCTTTGAAGATGTCCAAAGAGTACAGTCCTTCAGAAAAGGTGCTGAAGTTATTCCACCAACAGAGGTCTTAGTGATTTCGTCCGAAGAGGTCCGGAAGGAGACTCAAATGAATCTGCCGGTGTGGCGGCCTGTTCTTCTTTATATACCCTTTGAAGTCTTTTTTTATACTTGAATTTATCTGAGGGCACTTCTCATTGGTCTATTTTAGCGGTTCTTTTAAATAAAACACAAACACAACATATTGTTTATTCAAAGAATTCTTACACCATTTAATTAATTAATTGTTTGGAAAATATGCTACACATACAACGTTTTTAGTTAGTTAGTGATTTATTGGGCTATTCTCTAAAAATCTGCTATAGTCTATAAGCTGGTATATTCCATAGCTAATAGAGCTCTGTATATAAATTTTTTAAAGTCCTTATAGAATCGTATCAAAATTGGTATTCTCTAAGCGTCTATGTAAACATTCGAGTTATAGCGCTGTAATTACCCTAAAGTCTGTTTTTTATTAAGTGGAAATGTCAAACAGTCTTAACAAATTTATTCATGGTAATTTTTGGATGTTGGCAGTTCCAGTTTTTAATTTAATTAATAAAAAATGGCATTCAGCAAAAAAATCGTCTAAGAAAATTTAGAAATGAAAACACAAAAACGGGAACAAATTGAGTATCGCGAACAGTTTTTGGAAATTTGAAGACGAAAAGTCAGAAAAAGACTACCGCTAAAATTTAGACACAATTTGTAATGTAAATTTACTATACATTCTCTAATTTTTAGTAAGAAATTAATGAGAATACAACATAAACATCAAAGAGAAAAAAACGTAATTAAATTAGTAGGATTGTTTGCAACGTTTTTGAAGAACGAGTTGAAGAAGTAACAATTTTGAAACTAAAGCCGAAGGAGAATTTAGAAAATGCATCAACTTTGAGCTCATATTAATAAATTACACAAAAATTTATTACCGATTTTCATAAAACCTGCTTGTACCTTTTACAAAATAACTTTTTTCTAAATAGACACTCTTTTTATTAAAGATTTTGTAGTAAGAAGCTCATTATTGTCCACAACATTACCTTCTTTTTTCTTCATTTAATAATAAATATAATGCAATTAGTGCAATATTATTACGATCCATCACTGAACTATGTACTTATTATTAACTTTACACGATACCAATAATTATAAGAGAACAAAAATTAGCATCACTGGCGAAATACGGAGAGAAGTACTTATAATAAATTATTGAGGAGTGACATTGTTACTATGACAATATATCGTTATAGAGACTATAAGTCTTTACGGTCAGCAAATTTCTCGCCATAACTTTATAGAGACTTTAAGCTTATAGAATTTTAGGTATAGAGAAATATTTCCTTAGAGAATTCGATTTTTACTTATAGTCGATAGCTTAAAGAGTTATAGCGCTATAGCACGTATTTTTTTTTACAGAATAGCACCATAAGATAGATAAACTAAAGTCTATTTTTTTTTAATGGAAATTACCAAGTCAAAATTTTGGTGAAAAAATTGGTAGCAGTTTGTCTCCATAGCCACAAATTTTGTTTGCTCTTTGTTTTTGTCCCTAAAAATTTTGTTAAAAAATTATGGTTATGTGCTCCAATTGAGATGTTGTCAAAATTTTGACTTTTATGAATCTTGTGTGCCTGTTTGCTTTTTAAAAGCGCTATAATTGAATACCTGAGGACAGACATCATTACCTAAGGTCTAAAGCAGAATTCAGTGCTAATAATTTTGACAGAAACACACCTCAAGTAAGTACAATGTTGTGGACAAAAATGAGATTCTTGCTACAAAAACTTTGAAGAAAAGGATGTATATACAGAAAAAAGTTATTTAGCAAAATATACAAGTAGGTATTATGATGTTTGGCAATAAATTTTGTGTAATTGATTGAAATGAGCTCAAAGTTGATGCATTTTATAAATTCTTCTTCAGCTTTAGTTTCAAAATTATTACTTTTTCAACTCATTTCCGAGGTTCTTTCTCATTCATGTTTATTTTGTATTCTTGTAAATTTTTTGGTATAAATTAAGAATGTTCAGCAAACGTGCATTAAATTGCGTCTATATTTTAACGGGCCCTTATTCTAACTTCCTGCTTGCGAACTATTCGTTTCCAAATTTCGAAAAGCTGTTAGTGTACCGAATTTGTTCTTTTTTTCTTTCTTTTTTGGTGTTTCGTCTCTAAATTTTCTTAGACGATTTTTTGTGTTGACGTTTAATGACATTGTTTTCAAATTAATTCAAAAAACCGGAACTGCCAACTTTCTTTATTAAAATTACCATGAATGAATTTACTAGTGATGCCAACGTTAAGACTGTTTGGCATTTCCATTAAAAAAAACAGACTTTAGAATCATATTCATGCCGTCTCTTGCTAGAACAAATGATAATTGTATCTGAAAAACAGTAGTTTATGACTATTAATGAAACAGTGGTTAGTTTGGCAACTACAGTCATGGGTTTCCAAAAATTAAATAATTAAATTATTTTTATTAAAAGTGTATCCAGTGTTCTGTGACTTTTGTATATTTGGGTGCGTACATTAGGCGCAAGCCTCGTAAAGTTATGTGAACCACCCTGATTTCTACTACCAAACAAATATTAAATCTAAAACTTTATTACAGGTTATTCACGTCTACGAGCTGAAAAACGGGGGCCGAACCACGATTAAAGCAACGGAAATATTCTTCGTCTGGCCGGCTACCACAGCAAGTGGGGAAGATTTTCTCTACTTAGTGGATCCACCACACTTTTCCTTTACGGAAAATTTGAATCTGAAATGTGGCCCAATTCCGGCCAATTACCGTGACTTTGAAGTACCAACACGGAGGAAGTCAATCTGGGAGTTGTACGACATCGACGTGTCCACTGACACAACATCAGAGAAATTCGTCTCAAACAAAAACCAGAGTTACCAGAAGATCGGGTCAACAATTGGGGGTAAAATCGTCAAAGGTGACGAAAAAATCAACAAAGAAGTTGAGAAATCGGGCGATAGCTCGAATGTCTTCGACGTGAGACACAACAAAACGGCCCACACGTGGCAGAGCTCGGCTCGAGTTCAGATTTTTGAGGCTGCGGATGAGACATCGGGGCGTTTGAGTGGGAATTTCCGGCATTTCAGACTTGGAGGGAAACAGTACGCTTATCGATGTCTCAAATCGGACCAAGAAGTGGATTGTGGTACCGATTTTGCATTCTCTCGGGTGGATTTGCCCCAACTACTGGAAACTTCAAATGTTCAGTACCAGGAAGAAGGCCACATTCGGTACTCATGTCTCGACCAAGACTCCTTCGGTAATTGGCGCAAAACCGAATGTGGACGAGTACCCAAAATCCCTCTTGTACCCACAGTCACGGAAGGGGCCACAAGAGTACAAATTTTTGACGCTAACGAAGAAATCGCAAGACAACTAGACAGTCGCAGTTACAAACGACAGAAAATTGACGGGAAAGACTTCATCTATCGGTGCTTCCGGCGAGTCAACGGCCGGGAAGAAGAAATCGATTGTGGGGAAAACTTTTCGTTTTCGAGTATCGACCTTCCGTGGATTTTAGAACAGTCAGGGATACAACAAGAGGGTAATATTCGGTATGCGTGTCTCAAACCCGACTCCAGTGGTAACCTCCGGAGTACCACGTGTGACAATGTTCCCAAAATTCGAGTCAAAACCCAAATTATCCGGAATTATTGGGGTTCCAATGACACTCATTATTGGAACAACACGGGAGTTTTCGAAATCGGCCATCGAGACTCAATCCGAGTCCAGGTATTCCAAGGTGATGAGAGTTTAAGACGGCAATTGGAAGGTGTGTACCATTTGCAACCCCTCCGAGGGAACTACTTTATCTACCGGTGTTTCAACGGAAATGAGGAAGTTTCCTGTGATGAAAGCATCTCCTTGGCGCGGTTCCACAGTTTGGCGATTTTGCAAACGACAGGAGTCCAAGCAGACGGCAAAATCAGGTATGTCTGCCTCCAAGCCGACAATTACAAGACCTTGCAAAGCGTCGCTTGTGGGCACCTCCCATCGATCCGTTTCAAACCCCAAGTGATTCAAACTTCCTGGAAGTCGAACGGTACTCACTATTGGAACAACACAGGAGTGTATAGAGTGTCCCAAAGGTACGATTTTACAACAGTCCAGGTGTTCCAAGTCGGAAGTGACCTTACCGAGCAGTTGGAAGGTACTTACCGTTTTGAAAAAGTCGACGGTCAAGTTTTCATCTACCGCTGTTACAAGAATTTACTCGAAGTTGATTGTGGCCAATTCACGTTGCTTAGCTTAGATTTGTTGCAATTGTTGCGAAGTGTTGCAATCCAACAAGAGGGGAGTATTCGGTTCTTTTGCCTAGAAATGGACAGTGCTGGAAACTGGAGAGGGGCGAATTGTGGCCGTTTGCCCCGAATTCATTTCACCGAACCCAAAAAAGTTATAACGCAAGAACACATCTTGAAACGGTGTCTCAAGTTGGTTAATGGAAACTGGCAGGAGTTGGATTGTAGGTCTGGGTTTCACTCAAGTGATGGTACTTTTATCGAAGAGTGTTACCAGACGATTAACGGTCGCAGAGACAGGATTAACTGCACACAAGTGCCCCCGGGGAGTACCTTTGATTACGTACAAACCAGCACTCGATACAACCAAGAGACTAGTCATGGTAGTCGCCAAAGCTACCGCCCATCGTATGGTAGTGATTATAACTACAACCAAGGCCACGGTTATGGTAACCAATCGTACAGCTACGAAAACAGCTACGAGACTGAGCTCTACGAAGACGAAGACGACGATAAGGCCATTTCGGGTTATATGAACCCCCACGATGTCTCATCGACGGAACGTCAATCCGGCCGAAGAGACCCAAAGACGTATGGAACGTACGGCGAGTCCAGGAACCAAGGTCTTGGTGGTGCCAGCCAAGGTCTTGGTGGGGCCGCCCAAGGCCGCGGCTTCACTGCGGTTGCGCTAGATTTGGGCAATTTGGGCGATTCGCACTCCCATTGGTCAGAAACCCACCACGTGACACCCGTTTATAACAGCATAGGACGCGATAATGTCCCAACGGACGCTCCAAGTCCCAGAAATTGGCACCATGGGAGGAAAAAACGTCAAATTATTGGTGACAGTCACCCGTCCATTGCTGGTATTAAAGAAGAGTTCCCGTGCAAGAACCTGGGTTGTGTTTACATGAGGTGCACTATTGAGAACCTACAACACGGGAAACCCTTGACTATCGCTCTAAGAGGGCGATTGAACGCAAAAGTGTTGAGAAATGTAATTGTGACATTTGATTGGTTGCCAGAAACGTGACTGTGTTTTGTTTCAGATGAAATTAGACAACGCTTTGCAATTTTCGTCGATGATGTTGGCACGCGTGCACAAGGTGCCCCATCTGGTGTCGTTGAAAGGCAGTAAGCCCGTCGTGAAAGAGGTCGAGACTGCTGTTAAAACACCGGAAGAGATCAAGTCCGAGACTGTGCCTCTGTGGGTGGTAGTACTGTCAGCGGTCGCCGGTACGATCATCCTCCTACTCATCATCTTCCTGTTGTATAAAGTGAGTAGTTTGGAGTTTTGTGGTGTGTTGTTGCTAAATTAGCAAATTTCAGCTCGGTTTCTTCAAGCGAAACCGGCCTTCGAGCGCCCCCGAACGACAGCCACTGAACCGCAACGGTTATCACCATGGCGACGAAGCTCTGTGATTCCCCGGTAGCTACATTACTGCCTTCAAACCAAAAGACTTCCACTTAACTTATTGTCCTCGTGTGAATGTATAGTTGAAATGTCCGAAACGCCATCTCTATTTAAGAAGTCATAACAGACTAATTTTTACATTAATACTTACTAAAACTCTGTTTAGTGCCTTATTCACTAGTGCCACTTTGCAATATTTTGCAAAAGAAACTACGTTTGTTATGATAGGAATTTATTTAGTCGTATCGAACGGTCAATGTTTGTAAGTACTTAGTTACAATTTGTTGTTTTGCCACTAATTTAATTAAAACGAAAAAGAAACGATTGTTTGTTGCCGTCGAAATTTGTACATTGTAATTTGACATTGTAAATAAAACTATTGATTACGTTAGATCATTCTTTTATTTTTTGTACTAGGTAAGTACGTTAAAAAAATGCGATACAAAAATAATGTTAGTGAATTAAAATCATTGCACATACAAATAAACGTATGGTACATTTGTACTTAAAACATGGACGTGGCAAGAGTGTCACTAACACAACAAATCTTTTTAATGTTGGAATAAATTTCAACAACATGTAAATCACAGGCTTTGACAATGACGTCAGTTCTGCTATAATCGATATTTTTATCTTCCTCTTAAAAAAATCCTCGATTAGATAATTATCACAAAGTATTAACGTCTAGGCTTGACAATGCTGCTCCCTAGTGATTAAATTTCCACAACTTCTAAGATTTATAAATATCTTCGATGATTACAGTAATGCAGAAAAATTTTTTTATTCTAAAAGTGGTTCCGTATGAAAACAGACAACGGCTTTTTAAATTAAAAAAAATCAGTCATAGTTATTTATTCGACGAGTTTGAGTGTAAATCGGACGGATTATCTCACCGAGTGGGTTATATCATCCACGAGGTGGAATAAAGCGTCCGATTTACACTCAAACGAGTTGAATACAACATTTTATTCTTCGAATTAGACTCAATAAGGTTTAAACTTGCTTTAAATCTGTTAAAAATAATCTGACGTTTCGTATTGAGAAATGCCAAACAGTTGTCAAAACTCTCTTACACGGGAGAAAAACAGTAAATTTTGACAGTGTCGAAGAATAAAATAAATAAATAACTTTTTGTAAATCTCAGAAGTCGTAAATTAAATCCGAAGACTATAAAAAAAAACGTTTTTCAAAAAGCAACGGTTATAGATATCTACATATTATGTATGTCTACACAATTTCGTCATTTGGACTCTAAAATAACGCAACTAAATAAAAATCTGCTTCATAAACGAATATCTGTAAATTTTTTCAAGCGACAAATTGTGGTTTTTAAACTTCATGAAAACGTATAAATTCGCAACAATAAATAAAGAAATATAGTATTTTAAACTATTACATATCAAGTATAAACATGATGATCTTAACAATCAATTTCTTTCAATTTAGATTTTTATTTTTAGTGATTTTTATGATTAAAAATAATTCAATCTACCCCTGGAAAAGCTATAAGAGCCGATTTTCGCATACTCTAGGATCGAAAAATTAAATAATTTATTGTGCTTCTGTAACCAGTCTGATAAAAACTTTTCTGTAGCTTTTACATCTTTCAAAAAAAAATTCATGTTCACTATTGTTCAAAAAATTATTATTTATGTACAAAATACAAGTGGGTTCTGTTAGATTTTGACTACGTCTCCTGAGCTTTCTTTCCTAAATGAACACGAGTGTCATTTTATTATTTTTTTGCTTTAATTAAATTCGATTTTTCATTTTTCCATTTAAATTAAAATGGGTGATTACGAAACACTTTTCAGTTAGGTATAATAATTTTTTTTTCTAAAACAGATGTTAAAGTGAGATTTGTTCCACTGAAATACTGAAAATAATAAATTAAGTAGCAATTTAACCACAACGGTAAATAAAATAATATTTTAACAGCAAGGGCAAAAAATAACATTTTTTTTTAATATTGTAATATGTTATAATACACTGTAGAATTTTTTGCATTTTTCTACTTTTGAAATCACTTATTATACATATCATCTGCGATTTTTGAAACACCATTTTACCTACTGCATTTGGTGTTTTCAATTTGTGCAAATAGATGAACCAAAAGTAGCGCAAAAAATTCATAATTTGATGGGTATTTTTTTAAAATGCGAACAAGTCGATTTTATTTTTGTAAATAATACATTTTCATTATACTATTATTTATAACGTCAATGATTTTTAAGTAGTGACGTTATCAGTGTTTTTTTAAATGGCAACCAACATTTTTGTTTACTGTTTTTGGTAATATTTTCTTTTCAAAGGATAGAAGAATGTGCCTATTACAAACAACAGTCAACCAAATTGTTGGTTGAGATTTAAAAAAAATTAATAACGTCATTACTTAAAATGTTACAATACTCTCAAAATGTAGCATTAACTATAAAAACAAAATCGCCGTGTTTGAGGATTTTTTTGGAAAATTACCCATAACAATTTATGTATCAACTACGCAAAATAGGGTTTTAGGGGACGAATCGTAATTATTTAATTAATGACGAGGCGACGTAGAAGCCGAGCCAAAAACTGTTTTTGAGTACCTAAAATAACCGTTTTGCGTACTATTTTATTGAGTCCGGAAAAGACTCATTTTAAGGACTAAAATGAGTCCCTAAAACAGCTGTTTTCGGGAGCGTATACAAAAAAAATATTTGTGCGTTATCTTTGGTTCACCCTGCACACCACAACAATTTAGAAATGCCTGAAATAAGCTTAACAATAATTTAATTCTTATCCGATATTTAATTTTTCGGTGAATTTTGCTATCAGGCTTTTAACCCCCATTCATTATTTTGTTAAATTCGGTAATTTTTAAACTAAAATTGTTCAAACACCAATTGAACAAAAATAAATCCCAATTCTAAAATGCAAATCAAGAACAACAAAATACAAACGAGTTAAAAAATAAAGTGCAAAAAGCTAAAGACAGTTTTTGTTACAATCAAAGGCACACATTGTAAAAGTGGACACAAAATGATTCTGAGGACATGACAAATGTGTAAAATTTCACATTTTAGTGTCTTTTTAATTCAAAGAAATTTTTTTCTCATTGAAAAAGAGCATTTATCAAACGGTGACGAATGTAGACCTATATTACCACAAATCCCCTTTTTTATTAAAAATAGATGAGCTATGTTTTTAGAATATCTATCGAAGTCAGTAATTCAGTACTTATATCGTTTTGCTGCTAGTTGGAATGGGTATTTTTTTTATAAAACCAAGTCCTGTTTTTTAATTGGCGCAGTTAGTAGGATTCGCAAAAGTCTTTTAAACGGCACTTCTTTTGCAAAATTCGTACGATTTAACGTTTAATCTGTCAGGAAATTTTGTCGACAGTGGAGAGATTTATATTTTCTCACTTTCTTTCTTTTAACCAAAAATTTTGCAAATTATAACGCAAAGAAAATAATTGTCAACTCAAATAATATTCCTTGATCAGTAGTATCTAAAAATATTGGTTAGCACACCCTGTATAAATTTCATAGATCAACGAATGCTAACAGAAAAATACTAAAAACGCAAAAAAGTATAAAATGTCTTAATTTCGCTTTTTCATAATAAAATTTTAACACCAAATTGTTTGGACTAAATCTGCCACGCCCATGCTTCAAAATAAAAACACAAAAAATCCAATTGCATTATCACATGCAAGTGTTAAAATATCAAAACTGCCAAAACTGGCCGTATTTTTCACAGCTTTGAGCTTAATCAATCCTTTTTCAAAATTAGGCTAATTCCAAGTAACGATTTGATTTAGTATAAAAATTAGTGTTTAAACCGAGGTAACAATACTGAAATGTTCTAGTCTAAAGTCCTCGAAACAAACTTAAAAAAACACTTGTCTCGTTGTATCTCTATTCTACGATAAACGACACTTAAGACACCTCCTCAATAACCTTATCTTTAATTTCAGACTTGTAGTGATCCAATTCTTGAGCACACTCTTGGAGTAGCATCATGTGGTCCATTTTCTCAACAGTATCCTTCAATTCCGACTCCCACACCCCATCCATACTCTCCCCCTCGCCCCCATTGACCGGCCGCGTTGCCAACTCTTTAAATTTCACCTTCAACTCATCCAAATCCTCGACAAATTCCTCCTTTTCGTCCTTTTCGCTCACCGCCGAACTCGACCCGCAACTCCTCAATTCGCATTTCTCCAACTCCAGAGTGAAATCCGGCAACGAGGCGTGATTCTTGTTCGGGATTTCGACGTGCGATGGCGCTAGTTCGGCCCCCACTCCCGGTTCTCGAGGCCCTCGCAGGATTTCCTCGCTGACGCTGCCTCGTTTCAAGTGGATCTCGTTCGAGATTTGCTCGAGTTGTTTGAGAGTTTGGGCGTAGGAGGATTTCGCTTTGACGATGTCGCGTTTTATTGTCTCGATGCGTTCTTTCTGCGTGTTGAGCTGCTGTTGGCAGAGGGATTTCTCGTCGAAGTAGGGACGCGATTTGATTATGGACTTCTGGAGACGGCTTTCAAGCTGTTTCACACAGTCTTCAGCGGTTTTGAAGATGGTAGCGCGACGTTGGTGCTCGCGACCGCTTTCCGCTTTTTGATTTTCCGCTTCCATGACCTGGAAAAATCACAAGTACATAAATTATTTAGATTGTGTTTCGCGAGTCGGAAATTTTATAATTATTTATGAAAATCATCTCAAAACTTTAATTTCTAAAAACAAACACCAGGTAAAGTGTGTAATTATAATTATAACACAAGCCTGTGGTGGAAAAGTCATTGTCGTGAATGTAAATAGTGATTTGTATAATTTTTTAAATGTTGGTCATTGAAACAATTAAAAAAATCTATCACGTACAATTTCTTAACATATTTTGACTAATTCTGACCTTTAGTAGAGTAAAAACGGTTTTTATATACAATATACCGGGTGGGGCATCCGTTACGCCCAAAAAGAAAATCCCCCACTTCTAATTAAATAAAATTGTTGAATTTTTTCACACTTACCTGGGCATTATTAAAGTACATGCTCTAATTTTTGGGTAATTTTTCATTCACAAACAAAGCCAAAAAAAAATAAAAACTAATTTTCACCCAAAAAATTTAATTCTAGTTTTTATAGTGACCTACGCAGATTCACTTCCTACAATTGTTTACAAAATCAGAAAAAAAATACCAATTAGATTTTGAATTAAACGCAATTTTCCATCTTAACATTGAAAATCATTTTTATTTATGACCTGCTACTTGTGCCATCGTAAATTTAGGTGACAATGGGGAACTGCAGTTTTGGTAAGATTCCAAGGTTTACAACAAAAAGACCCTTTAAAGCGGTCGGCTACCAGTAAATGATTCTTTTGTTGGCAAATTATACCATTTTGTCATAAATCACGGGTCTGGTTTGTGTTTAAATAAAAAAAAAAAACATTGTTTGGATAACCAAGTCAAAATTTGAAATTGTGATATCAAAGTTTGATGCGCTAACAGGTACAGATTCATTTAGTGTAAAAACTTTATAGGCAAATTAACAGAAAGTATTCATAAAACACACAAAACTATTACGGACTCATTTATTATCCAAAAAAATTAGAAAAATTCTCAAATTATACCCTATCAATAATTAGTTAGGTATATGAAATATTGCCAGTTTTAATTAATATTAAGTTGCGATTTATCAAGTGCGCGTAACCGATGCCCCACCCGGTATACAATCAATTTTTATTGCCAAAAAAATGCAAAAGTCAAAAACAAAACAAAATTTTATCGTCAAAACACTATCGACCTTAAGTTTACAAAAAAAAAACGTAAAAAAAAATTCGAGACAAAGAAAAAACATTGTCACAAGACCTTTTTTATATTTATTCAAAGTTTTCTTAATTTTAGTTTTCATATTTATGTATTTCTGGTTTATTGGAATAACATTAACACATTATTAACATTAAAATATTAATTTTTTTCCAATTTTCTTAAAGAACAACCAATTTCTAGGTGTTGGTAGAAAGGTTTTATTTTTATTTTTCTACCACAATCATAGGCAAAAAAACTAAAAACACTGTAAAAATTCCACACCAAAGTCTCACAAAAAATGGAATTTCAATTTTGACTTATTGTGTTTTTGCTTATAAAATAATAATGAAAAAATATATATATAAAAAACACAAACTATACTAAATTGTAACAATATTAAAACAAATTCAATTTCGAAAGCCCCGCTATCATTTTCATTATTGATAGTGCTCATATTTTCTCATCGATCCAAAAGAAATAAGTGTAAAGTAAACATAATTATGAAAAATGGCTGCAACAACGCTAATCTTGAAAATTTAATATTAATAGAGGTATTTGTAGTAATCAATAGACTCTAAACCTTGATATTAGGTTCTTCAAGTTCAAACATTTTCCACTTCCAACATTATTTTCATATTTATGGAGACAAAGTACAAGTAGTGTTTAATATAAAAAACTTCCACTTGTTACTATATGAAATTACATTACCATAAATATGCTTAAAAATCAAAAAATTATTGTTTATTTTTCGATAAAACAACAAGACGTCCCAAACATAAAACCTTACTCCGCCAAAAATGTGTCTGCCTGAAGTATGTAGTACCAAACGATTGTAACAAAAACATACAAAAATAAAAGTCTTAAACAGTTTTCAATCTTTTATTTTTTTATTTCTAAGTGAGACAATCAGAATACATATAATTTAAATGGTTGTACAGAAATTTACAGATTACAGAACTCAAAATAACTCAACTGATTTTTATTCAAATGTTTAGAGTAAATATAAATATAAACAAAGTTTGCACCGTTTGAATACTTTATTTTAAAGTTTGCATTGCTGATAGCTGGTCACACTTGAGGTACTTAATGAATTCGGTGGTTTCTTTGACGAAAAAATTTATACAACATTTTTGCCTTTATCATTTTTTCTAATGAGAACACTTTTTTCCATGATTTTTTGCTAATTTTAACTCATTCTTTTTGAAACCATGTAATAAATTTTGAAGAACCTCGAAACTTGAAATGTAGAAACTGACACAGGATGAATGGCACTATTAAATTCTCGTGACTTTTCGATACTTTAGCCTAAAGATGATACAATAAAGAATCGAAACATGGTGACGAATTTAATAGTTTCATTCATCCTGTGTCCTATAACACCAGTTTCTACGTAATAAAGTTTCTTTCTAATAGCGTCAAAAGTTTACATAAACTTAGGGGTTAAAGCCAAAATGTAATATTTTCTTGTAAACAATTTAGTGATTTGTGACTTGGTATGACGAAATTTTGCGCAAAAACGAAGTTTTCAACTTAAAAATCTGCTTCAACCCTCGAGAAAAGCAAAAATGACATCATTTTCCGCTTAAATCTGGAATATTTCGGCTTATTTTTAACATTTTGAAAAATAATTGCGTTTCTAGCTGAAAAACATAGTAAAACGCTAGAAAAATGTAAAAATACTGTAATTTTGACAAAAATTGTTATGTTTTTGTGTGTTGTACTAAAATCTCGGTAACATTTTAGTAGAAAACGAGTTTAAGAGTATTTTTAACCAAATTTTGTGGTTTCTCGGTTTATTTTTGTCTTAATTTTGTTCAGTAGCTAGTTAAATCGAGTGAAACAAACCAAATGAAATCAATATCAATCCTTTTTGTGATTTTTAGGCGGACAAGAGATTTTGCAAAATAAATGAACCTCTGGTTCAAAAACGAAGTGGGTCAAGCAAAACAAGCTCAATTTCAATTTAGTTTTGTAATGGTTTAGTCTGTTTAAACAAAATTTTTCTAAATTTTTTGTTTTTATCCGTACTTATAAACACTTGAAAAAGACTAAAATAACACCATTTTTGGACACTTTTGGCTTGTTTTTAACGAAATTTTGCGAAATAATTGTGTTTCTAGCTGAAAAGCATTCGCAAAAGGCAAAAGTAAATTGCCATTTTCAACTCTGTTCAGTAAAATCTTGTAAAAACAAACAGAACAATTTTTAACCAATTTAATAATTTTTTGGTTTCCTTTTTTGAGAAAATTTAGCAAAATAATCAAGTTTCTGGTTGAACAACGTGGACAAAGCTTGAAAAGTATAATTTATTTTTAATCTAATTTACTATATCAATATTGAAAAATTGGTGTTTTAATTTTTTGTTGTAACAGTTTTTTGTTGTAACAGTTTTTTTTTTCATTTACAAAAAATCACCTGACATTAATTAAATTTTTTATGTTTTCAACAAAGCACCAGACTAACATAAAAATCACCAGATCTGGTAAAATTTTACCAAACCTGGCAACACTGCTTTTATCCTCTTAGAATTTCTACACAACTATAAAAACCATCCCTGTATTACTATTAAAAACACTGAACTGTTATTATTAATGCACAATGCCCAAATTACGTTTTATTAAAAATATTCAAATAATAGAACAAAATGTTTGAATGTTTTTACTAAGAACGATTTTTCATGATTTTAATGTTGTCAAGCTAAACATTTACATGAAAATATGCGTTTCTCATAAAATTTTCATAAATATTTGTCTTCTTCGAATCTCACCACTAAGAACCATAATAACTGTCTAAAATAATTATAGTTTTCGATCCGCAGTAAATTAAAAATTTCGACAACAAATGAAACATTTATCTCAATAACCAGAAAAGATATTAGTCATAAAAGTTATTGTAGATACAATACACCAACTCGTAAAACTCGTGTTATTTTCACGATAAAAAAAGCAACTAAACTATTGTTACTAATGTCAGATATGTTAATCACTTTTCAAATATTTTGCATAAAAGTTTCCACAATCACAAATTTTTGGTTTTACGTTTTTTTATTACAGCAAGATAACAATAAGTCTGTTAACCTTCTGCCACAATTTTACAAAAATTAATATAAATACAACCTTAGGTAAACAAACAAAAGCTTTTGTTCATTCCCTTCGTTACAAAAATGGTTTAAACGCAGTTTAATGTAATTAAATAAATAATATGCAATAACATAAAATAAGTGATTCATAATTTCTGTTCATTAATCTTCCTCGTTTGTTCAAGGCAACCCAACACTAACAAACAACAGATTTGCAATGCAAATCTGGGCAAAATAACCAGATTTAGAAATTTTACCATAACATATTACTTCGACCGTTAGCCCGTTTTTGGTCAGTGCTTCACACTGAACTCTAAACCCCCTCAACCATAAAGCGTAACCTTCACATCATGAAATGCAAATTCAAAACTCACTTTAATTGTGGCATGATTGAGCATCTCCTGCCAGGCATTATCAAACTGCCACTCGTGCTGATTACTCAGAAACCTCTGTTCGGCCAAAGCCACTGTTTCCTTGGCCGCTGCGTGAATTTCTACAACAAACAATAAGCATTTCTGGTAGAAATTCACACCCAAAGTCACCATTAGCTCTCTGGAATTGGACTGCGGCTTTCTGGCACTCCTGCTGTGCCTTTTTCGCTATCTCCAACGCTTCGTAATAAGGCCTCGCTCGCTCGATACAACTACCGAGTTTTTTGGACAAAATTTTGAGTCTCCGAGTTGACTCATTTAGGAGCAATCGGAAAGTGGTGTTGGCTTCCTGAAATGTGCGGTTATAGCAAAGTTTAAGCTGCAAAAGGGGGCTTACATCGTATTCTATTTCTAGACGGTTGATTTCATCTGTTGTGGTGTTGAGCTTCTCGAGTTCGATCTGTATTCGAGGGTCCAATTCATTGTCTTCGTTTTCACTCATCTTTGATTGAATAACAACCTATTTTCAGTCTTACGATTGTTGTATCACATTTTAGTCATGTATTGTAATTGTATGGGGAACTAATTAAACATAATTGTGTTGGTAATGACGTTAATGCTATTTTTATCACACGTGATGTCAACACACCGAAACCATTCTACAAGACGATCTCACCAGGACTGAGAAATATAACACAACAATTAACTCAAAAGTAAGTATTTTATCAGATTAGAAGCACAACACAACGAAAAGGCAAACGTCACACTGGGAGAAAGTTGGTTCAAGTGCAGACCACGTCGCCCAATTTTCGTGTGTGCCAGAAAAAGACAACACTACTGATGTACTACTGAGATTAGTGCAAAGACACCAAAATGTCACTTGTCATTTCAAAATGCTGCTAAAGGCCCGTTTACACGACACATGACCCACATTAATTTAATTACGCAACCAGTAAAATAAGCCAAGAACACACAATTTTTTTATTCACAATCTTTTTATAAGAATACGTAATTATTGTAATAAATTTTAATAGAATTTTGGAGAAGATAAGTGAATCAAATTCGTCACTCGTGAAACCCTCATTAGGAGTATTGTTTTGAAAAGTTTGACGTTTAACATAACCTGAGATTTTTCTCACTTCAAATTAATTGTGGTAGTGGGTTTAAATTACTTGTAATCACGATGAATCAAAGAAATTTATTGACATGTACAACATACAACACAAATAATAAATAAGATAAATTCTTCAAACAGTCGTTTCTTTGTTTTCATCTTCAGTCTCTGCGTTTTCAGGCATTTCAATTACTACAGCTGAGTCGGGGTTGCCCCCTCGTTCTTCCGCTTCTTCAATATGGCGTTCCAAGTTATTTTGCTCAATTTCAGTTTCCTGTCTACTCCTTGCATCCTCATTATCTTCAGTTGGTGTGTTATTGGGATTGGCTGTTTCCATGGGGTTGTGGCAACAAATATGGGCCGTACTTGGGGGTATGTACCTCACGACACACTCTCTTTGCCACCAATTGTACCACATTCTTGAATGCAGCCTAATAACTGAATAAACCCATAAGTAATACCCAATCAGCATTATTCCAATCATAATGAGAAGCGAGACCGAAGTCCAACGAGCAGCCGGGACCATAATGAACTTCTTCTGATTGTAATAATCAGAAGAAAACAAGCAGACATATGTTATTATTATAGCAACTGGTGTAATGACCGTGCATGCAATTATATCGCTCCGGACGCCTCTCCCAATTCCCCCAGGACTCCGGTGGCTCCTCAACCATCGCCAGATTGACTGCTGGGAGGTGTATTTCGGGGAACGTTCTGTTCGAAATACCACATGACACAATTCACACATTGTTGTATTCGACTCAGCTAACCATCTCTCGAGACAACTCCTATGGACGAAAGCCACAGTTCCCTAAAGTCATTTTGTTAAAAACAAACTGAAAAGTTACTTAAAGCACCTTGCAATGACAGGGGGCTATCAAAGCTTCATCTTTGTCGTTGTCATAACAAATGCGACACAAAACTGAAATTAGAGACAGTTTGGGGTCCAGACAAGCGTTACAGGGGGACGACGAAGGCTTCATTGTTGTGATTTGGAAGGTTTTAGTAGAAAAGCCCGCGTTATGTAATTTTAAATTTTTGTGTCACCAACATGAAGAAAAATAAGTCACTATCGAAATTGTCACAATGTACAGTGTACAACAAAACAAATGGTGAAGAAGTTTGTGTGCAAAATGCAATAATCTGACATAATTATTGTGTTTGCTGTTTGTAGTCAATAAATGAGTATTGCTAAGACTTGATTTTTATTTATAATTATCTCACGATGTGATGTGATGTGATGTGATATATGATTTGATTTTGACGTTACTTTGTTTGAGGCTGTACCTGTATTGACATCTGTGAATGACGTTAGCTGTCAAAAATTAGTGAGGTTATGTCTGTAAAAAAAGATGTAAATAAAACATTCTAAAACAATAATTTTTTCATAAAATCAGTATTATTTCATGTTCATAATTCATTTGAAACAAAAAAATAACGCAAATGTGTAAGATGTCACTAAGTGTCCCTTTAATGGTGTCTCATTAAAATTCATGACAAATCTGTGGGTAGATAACGAAACAATGTAATCAAAATAACAGTAAGTGTTCCACAATGTATGTCATCAATTATTTTATAATCTATTGGAAACTGCTTGCTTGGTCTCTACTACTTTTGCTGGTGACATGTTTGAGCACCCAGTTTTTCACATTACCTGTAAGTGGGCTTTATTTGCTCGGCTATGTGATAACTGTTGCTATTTCGACAACTTGGGTCAGCTTCGTGACTATACAGAACTTCCTCCACCAGAACAAACCGGTAAATTTACCCAAACTCTTAAATCTTAAAGTAAAACAATGTGAGAGCGAAGATTTCAACAATGCGGCTTCGATCAAGCAGCTAACTTTGGATATCGACAAGTATTTTATAGAAAAATGGTTCATTTACATAAGTAAAGACCCGACCTTTAATAATGAGAGTCGAGTCATCCTCGAGGAGGTTCTGAGAAAGATGGTTAATGTCCAGTTGAGTCTCGATAATGAAGCTATCATTCAAGGAGTCCTCAATTTGTATTTGAAACATTTGAAGGAGTTTCGGAGGAGTTTGAAACGCAGGGATAAATATTCGGGAAAAATCAGCGACTTGTATAGATACTCACACATGTGTAGTTGTTCAAAGAAAGCAAAGAATTATTTCATTCATCAACTCACTATTAACTTATTGAACCATTTCATCAACTGGGAATTGGGAAACTCATTACCATACCAAATTCTAGTCTCTATAATTTCGAAACGAGTCATGACATACATTTTGAATTTATTATCAAACCCGGAATTTATTAACTACTACATTTTAAGAAGTTGTGCATCGGAAAGTAAGAAAAGCGAGCTGAAATTGAACGATTTCAATCGGGTGAAAATTATCCAAATCACGGAAAAAGGGGATACGACACCCACTGATCTAGTCAAATCTGTGAGCAAAACGAATTTGGCCAGAGTTGACGCCATTGAACCCCAAACCAAAGAGATTGTTGAATTTAAAAGCGAAGAAGTTAAGATTTATGAACCTAAGAGTTGTAAAACTTGGTACGATTCGTTAGATTTGACTTCGATTCCTTTGGGACAGGATATACTTGATAGCATAAGTCTGGGAGAGTCTGACAAGGATGTCGATAATACAGGTTTCTATTTTCTGTGAGTTAAAATCTTGTGTTATTATTGTGTTTTAGAACTGGAGAAAGACGAAGTTTTGTCTCCTATATCCTCGGCCAAGAATCTCCTCGACGAAATGAAACAAATGACGACATTTGAAGGCTTGAAGACTTCCATGAAACCAATCAGCGATGCCACGGCTACCACTATTCACAACATCAAAGATTTTCAAGAAAGTACAGTAAATAACGTGGTTAAACCGGTCTCACAGGTCACTTCAACCGCCTTGCATAGAATCGGTGGTTTACACTTGCAGGTATTTCATTGGATTTAATTTTTTTCTCTTGTTACATTTTATGTTGCAAGGATGAAGCTGCAGGTATGGTTGAAGGTATCTTAGATTTTGGTAGGACGCGAATCCGGAAAGGTTTGCGTCTGACCGGTCTTCAAGACAGCCCCCCTGACGAGCCCATAAAACCACAAAAGAAGCAAATTGTCAAAATGGACAAAATTGACGACTTTGAAACGACTTGGATTAATCCAATACAAGAGGAACAAGTCAGTGGTGCCACCTGAAAAGATTTGTTTCACAAAATGTATAATTGCAGCCAAAATTTGAAACCGTAACCAAAGTCCCATCGATTCAAACCCACGAGGAAACAAGTCCGGAACCTGAATACGAAGAAGCCGCCGATTTAGCGACGAGTATAGCGAAACTGCGGTCTTTACTTGAGCAAAAATCGTCCGAATCGAGTTTATCGACACCGGCCGTTAGTCCAATGTGAGAATTTTTAACGTTTTAAGTTTGGGGAAATAAAGGGATTCTAGGCCACAGGACGAAATTTCTAATAAAATTTTATTGGAAGATGGGGACGAGACCGATGGTGTAATGCCGAGTTTTTACAAATTCTGTGCTAAAACTGCAACCGGAGTCATTCACAACACTCTTAATACTATCAAAACTGCACTTCCTGGTAATGTGGCAGAGTGTGACAGATACGATGGCTTGGAGAAGTGGTTGTTTGTGGAGGCGAACGCGACGGTGAGCTATTTTAGTTTTATTATTATTTAAACAAAATTTGTTCTTTAGAATTGTGATTTATACGAACGTATGACTAAACTCCTCGGCGAAAGGAAAGTTTTCTGCACTGTGGACACGGCCTACGAAGCACTCGATTCTTTGGATTCGCTCCACCAAAATGACAAACTTCGCCAGTCCAACATCCAATTCCATGATGAACTCGATGATTTTGAAGTCAAACTACCGATCACCAAAACACTTTTCGACATTTTATGCGAACTTTTAGCAGACAACAAGGAAACGTTTTTGACTAAAGAACCGGTCATTAAATCTGTTTTGTTACTTTTCGGAAATTTTATTGAAGAAAATGTTGTGACACACGCGAATTATTATCTACGTTATTGTTGTGCTAATGCTAAAATACCGTCAGAGGGCAAAATTGAGACGCTTTCTATGGAACTCGAAGAGTTTGTTACTGTTGTTTTGAGCGGCATTCCAGGTGAGTGGAATACCAAAACTTTTATTACAGTGAAATTAATTTAATTTCAGATTCTGTTAAATGTCTAGTAGGGGAAAACACAGTGAAAGATGTTGTAAATTTGTTTGTTTCTTCGTTGCAAATAGAGAAGATCAATCAGGATATCATGTTGCAAGTTTTTGAGATACTTTGTATGAAATTAATGGAAGGAAGTAAACAGCTATCGCCTATGATTCCAGCTTAGTTGTCTTTGATGTTACGCTTTAAATAGATTTTATGTCAACGTTTAACAAATGTAGAAAATAAAAATACGTTTTATTTATTTCCATAGATTGTTATTATTTCGCTTATTTTTTCACTGCATAAGTATAGAAGTGTCTAACTAAAATTCATCACAAATCTGTGGTTTGATAAAGAAAGTATCTAATCAGAAGTACTTCCTTGAAGATAACACCTCAAAAGGTATCAAAATTACAGTAAGTGTTCCACAATGCATGTCATCAATTATTTTATAACCTACTGGAAATCGCTTGCGTGGTCTTTATTACTTTTGCTAGTTACATGTTTGAGCACCCAGTTTTTCACACTACCTGTAAGTGGTCTTTATTTGCTCGGCTGTGTGGTAGCTGTTGCTATTTCGACAACTTTGATAAGCTTCGTGACTATACAGAACTTCCTCCACCAGAATAAACCGCTAAATTTACCAAAACTCTTAAATCTTAAAGTAAATAAACAATGTGAGAGAGAGGATTTCAACAATGCAGCTTCAATTAAGCAGCTCACTTTTGATATCGACAAGTATTTTATAGAAGAGTGGTTCGTTTACATAAGTAAAGACCCGACTTTTAATAGTGAGAGTCGGGTTATCCTCGAGGAGGTTCTGAGAAAGATGGTTAATGTCCAGTTGAGTCTCAGTAATGAAGCTATCATTCAAGGAGTCCTCAATCTGTATTTGAAACATTTGAAGGAGTTTCGGAGGAGTCTGAAACGCAGAGATAAATATTCGGGAAAAATCAGCGACTTGTATAGATACTCACACATGTGTAGTTGTTCAAAGAAAGCAAAGAATTTTTTCATTCATCAACTTACCATTAACTTATTGAACCATTTCATCAATTGGGAATTGGGAAACTCATTACCATACCAAGTTCTGGTCTCTATAATTTCGAAACAAGTCATGACGTACATTTTGAATCTATTATCAAATCCGGAATTTATTAACTATTACATTTTGAGAAGTTGTGCGTCGGAAAATGAGAAAAACGAGCTAAAATTGGACGATTTCAATCGAGTAAAAATTAGCCAAAACACGACACATTATAATGACCCAGACAAATCTGTGAGTAAAGCCAATTTGAGCAAAGTTGACGCTACCAAGAATCGAGCCAAAGAAATTAAAAGTGAACTTAAGAAGTGTAATACTTTTAACGTTTCACTAGATTTGACTTCAGTTCCTGAAGGGCAAGATATACCTGATAGTATAAGTCTGCGAGAATCCAGACAACTAGAAAATGTAACTAAAGTACAAACTCGGGGAATCCCAGAATCTGGATACGAGGAACCCGCCAATTTAGCGACGATTATATCAAAACAGGGAGCTTTGCAAGAGCAAAAAGCTTCCGAATCGAGATTATTGATCCCGGTTGTTAATTCAATGTAAAAATTTTCTCGTATGAAGCTTGTTTAAAAATAAAGAATTTTTAGGTCATTGGGCGAAATTTTCAATAAAATATTGCTCGCAGACAGTGTCCAGATCGAGGATTCACTTGCAACGACTTGGATTAATTCAATAAAAAAAGAACAAGTTAGTACCTACCTACTGTCATTAAAAATAACTATTGTTTTAAAAATAACTATTGTTTTAAAAATAACCCACAATTGCAGTCAAAATCTGAAGTCCCGTTCATACAAACCTGTGATGATGGAAGTCCAGAGCATGATGAATGTGAAGAAGCCGACGAAGTTGATGGTGTGAAGAGTTTTTATAAATCTTGTGCTAAAACAGGAACGAGAGTAATTCGTAACACTGTTAAGACAATTAAAAGGGCACTTCCTTGCAATGTTGAAGAGAGTGACACATATCATGGAATGCAAAACTGGTCCTTTATTAAGTCGAACGCGACCGTGAGTTATTTTAGACTTTTATTATTATGTAAACAAAATTCGTTCTTTAGAATTGCGATTTGTGCGAACGTATGACTAAACTCCTCACCGAAAGGAAAGTTTTCTACGAAGCTCTTGATTCCTTGGATTCGCTCAAACAAAACGACAATCTTCCTCAGTCCAACACTCAATTCGATGATGAATTCGACGATTTTGATGTCAAACTACAGGTCACCAAAACACTTTTCGACATTTTATGCGAACTTTTAGCAGACAACAAGGAAACGTTTTTGAGTAAAGAACCGGTCATTAAGTCCATTTTGTTACTTTTCGGAAATTTTATTGAAGAAAATGTTGTGACACACGCGAATTATTATCTACGTTATTGTTGTGCTAATGCTAAAATACCGTCAGACGGCAAAATTGAGACGCTTTCTATGGAACTCGAAGATTTTGTTACTGTTGTTCTGAGTGGCATTCCAGGTGAGTGGGATACCAAAACTTTTATTACAGTGAAGTTAATTTAATTTCAGATTCTGTTAAATGTCTATTAGGGGAAAACACAGTGAAAGATGTTGTAAATTTGTTTGTTTCTTCGTTGCAAATAGAGAAGATCAATCAGGATATTATGTTGCAAGTTTTTGAGATACTTTGTATGAAATTAATGGAAGGAAGTAAACAGCTATCGCCTATGATTCCAGCTTAGTTGTCTTTGATGTTGTTACGCATTAAACTGATTTTAAGTCAATGTTTAGCAAATGTAGAAAATAAAAAAATCGTTTCTTTAACAAGAATTTATTAAAACTTAAATCACTGGTTTAATATCAACTTTTATCGTATTTATCTGACTGTTTGCACAAATCGACGAACACTCCTTTGCCTCTGCTTGGTATATCCGAGTAGCTCTTCTTTCCCTTGGGACAAAGCGTGTTCGAAAAGGACGCATCTCTTTTCCTAAACAAACATTTGTTACATAATTAAATAGTTCAAGAGAATGTTTAAAGCCCGACGCGGAGCGAGGGCTTTAAACACCCAAGGCTACAACAATAATGAATTTTTTTACTTACCCTCTTCCGGGCAACGCCATCTCGTCAACTGCTACACTTTCGACATACAAGTGGTCGTTGCACCAAAACAAACAGATTGTTTTTGGTTCTAGAACGTTCAATTCGTACTCCCAACTCAATTCGACTTTTTTAATGTTGCCTCCCAAGTCGGCTGGATGTGACACCACACTGGTGAAACTGGTGCCGTGTTCCAATTTCGTCTCACCAGAGGGTGTTAAATCGACGTGGATCACACCAGCGGAACTGTAAATGGAGGCCTTAATGAAGCCCTGGACCCAGGATTCGGCCATTCGGGGTTTGGCTAACTCTATTCTCACTCGATACAGTCTTCCTGGAATCAAAAAGTACATGACAAATTCAAAAAATAAACAAAAAAAAAACATAATACAGGGGGCGCCAGAACTTGCGCACCAAAGTCGAATGTAGGTAAGATACCAGGAACATGGAAAAAATATTAAGTCTGAAACTGTAAGAATTTTCTGGAGTAATCCAGTAAAGTCCGGACTGAGTCAAGTTTTGTGAAATTTTTTAAAATAAAGGTTACAAAGTTAAGAGTTATTTTTTCTTAGGGAAGATTACCCAAAGATTTGAGTTGAATAGACAGTTCAAGCGTTTTGGAACTATTTTCTAGTTTACGTAAAACGAACTAATAAAAAGTCTGAAATTGTGAGAACGTTCTGGAAAAATTAAACCGTTAGAACCGTTGAAGTCTGGACTAACTCAAGTTTTGTTGAAAATTTTTCAAATAAACGCTGCAAATTTAAAAACAAACAGTTTTAAGTAAATAATTGCTTTTATAAATCAAGTTTTATGCGACTTTTAGTAATTTTTCTTATTCGCGCACCAGAGAAAAATGCCATCCATGTAAGATAATGTACCAGAACCATGAAAAAAATATTTAAAAAATCTATGTATAAAAATTTCGAAATTACATCGCAAAAACTATGTATCGCAGAGTATTTTAACCTGTTGCATCGTGTTCAGCGGGTAATTTTACGTCCAAAAAACCATATTTCAAGCGTTTTTACAAAAAATTCGTAAGTATTTAAACTTGACCCAATAACATTTTGTGCACTATTTTGAGTCTTTAAGATCACTAGAAATGTAAAAAAACGTTATATGGATCGATTTTAAAGTTAAAATTTTTTTGATTTTTGTCGAGATTTTGGTCGATTTTTGGCATAGTAGTAACTCCGAACTTCTTGGTGATAACCGCTTATGTTTGGTACCTTTGGAAAGAAAATTTAATTTTCTATCATATACAAAAAAGATCAGTGTGTGATAAATAGTTATCGAGAAAATTTCTGATAAACTAATCAAAGAAAAAATGAATTAAATTATAAATTAAAATATTGCAAATTTTAGCAAAATAAATTTACATTTTTTTATTAATGTATATTTTAAACCCTTAATAAAACATATTTTATCAGTATTTATTTTACGGGGTTCTAGTTTTTTAACTTAATAATATGTTTGGTTACAAATCCTATTTTTGAACGAAACCTCCAGTGACGTCAATTCGCGCGAATAATGCGTACACGTGATTGGTGCAAAGTTACGAGGCAACCTTCTCACTTTATAAATCTTGATCATTAGTAAGGCTCGGATTATATGCACGAAAAATTTGTAAAATATGCGCGAATATATGCACGTATTTTCACAAAAATATGCACAAGATATTAAGAAATATACTCCAATATATGCTAAATATGCAATGATATGCAAAACTGAACAATAAAAAATCAAAGTTAGGATAAATTTTTATCCTCGAGAACACTAGACTTTGTATTTTCGGTATCTTGAACTACACAGAATAAACGAAAGAGAATAAATAAATTGGTTTTGCCTCAGACAAGCCATTTTATAACCTAGTAATTAAGCTTTTCTAATAAATTTGTACTTTTCAGATCACATCACTTTAAACTATTTCGCTAAAATTTACTTCCAGGAAACTATTTATTCGAATTATAGCCATACCGGGTGAATAAAAAGTATAGAACCAAACGTGTTTTTTTTGCTTAAACTATTTATTTGTTATATTTTAACAAAAAAATCGCGTAACTCAAAAAGAAAACAAAATTTCTTTCTCAAAATACGATCACATTTTTTATATTACTTTAATTTATATTAAGTATTATTTTCTAGAGGCAATTTATTTTACAAAAAAAAACGCTTAGTTCTATACTTTATATTCACCCTGTATAAAGGAAACACTCAGCAGGATACTAGTTCTTTGATTCCGGCTTACGACCTACCGGTTGTTTTTTCTTTAACATATTTTGTAATCGGATCTTTTTTCATAAACTATCTAATTTTTAACTTGAACTGAAATTCTTAATCAGAAATTTGTAATTTGAAGAAAATATGCACAAATATGCAATATTTCCTAAAATATTCACGAAGTTGCCAAAATATGCCTATTGGCCTATTTTAGTCAAAAAAATATTAGATATGCATAGAAAATTTATAATTTTGTTGATATACCTCTTAATAAAAAATATGCATTTTGCATATAATCCGAGCCTTAATTATCAGTATCATTAAATAGACAAAAAAATGTAAAATGTCAAAAAATAAATGTCAAATTTTTTTAACAGATAGAATTTTTTAATGTTACTGGTAAGATAAGAATCTTACATAAATTTTTTCTCTGGGGTGCGATTTCTGATATTCCGAGTACTTACGGCAAAACGGGAACTCTCGTCCCGTGGTTAGGAAGTATTTATTTCCGACCAGATCGGTCAGCTTTGCTTGCGAGATTTCATTATTTTCGATCCCGGGGCTGGAGTGGGCATGATAGCCCATCACAGCGCAGTTCGTGGTTCCAGGCTTGCACGTGAAGCATTTCCCGGCCATAAACTGCTCGAAACTGGAACATTGATGCCCTAAAATGCCCTCTGACTAACACAAATCAAACATTCGGTATTGAAACTCACCTATGTAAGGGCATTGTGTGTTTATACTATCAATAAATAATTTTATGGCTCTTACATGATTACATGCGACCAGGACTCTGGACGCTTCCTCTAGCCCATCCCTGAAATTTGAGCTCGAAAATGTTTGGTTTGAGGAAAAATGACAACTTGCCTGATAAGGGTTAAGGGTACTAAGGGGGTTTGGGTAATATCACATCCGGGTTGCTCTTTCCCATTGTTGGGATAGAAGTCTAAGTGGCCGCAAGGCTGCGACATTCCGTAGCCTGGAAATTGGAGCAAAGTTTAGAAACTCGTAAAATGCATCACTTTTTGTCGACTTCAAGCTTTCTGTTAGTTTTGTGACACACGACTCGGGAAAGTTTTTACAAAAGAAGACAATGAGTCAGCTGAAATGGGCAAAGATTATGCATATTTGAGTATCGTTTTGGTTAGGCTCTATTTCTTCTTTTGTTTTGCAAACAAGATAGCTGAACTGATGGAAAGAAAGCACTTACCGAGGAAGATGATGCCTTTGCCGTCGGTGTGGATCACGTCGACGAATTCGGCGTCGGAGGGGTCCAGACGGACGTGTGGGGGCATCCCCTAAAACAACTAACATGAGGCCTAGGGACTAAAGATTGCTTTCCAAAAAAAGCAAAGCAAAAATATACTAGTTTTTGGATTTGATTTCATGAAATGTCGATATTTTAGACTTTTGTGAAGTTGAGATGTTAGAAAGAACTGAAAAATAATAGTATTTTGTCGCTTTTAACTATTTTTAATCAAGTTTGGAGAGACAATCTGTACAGTAAGCACTTCAAAAGAAAAAGATGATATATTTCACAAATAAAATAACTTTAAAATATTTTTTTAATAAAAGAAAAACATGTTCGTGTAATAAACATGGTTGGATATTTATTAAAAAATGCTTAGTAACTAATAGGTAAATGCCAATTACAAACAATTCACGTAAAACGCTTCGTGCCTTTATTAGATTTTTTTAAATGTTAATGATAAAAATATTTCAGCTCAATAAATGTAATATAATTTCAGAAAAATGTATTAAAATTGTAAAAATGGAGCTGAAAAACCGTTTGTAATTTTTAAATCACACGTTTCTCAAATGTGGTAAATTATTTTTCAAGAAATCTGAAACAGTAAGAATTTTCTGGAATTACCCGGTAGAGTCCGTACTAACTCGAATTTTGTTTTTTTTTTAATAAACGTTACAAAGTCTGAAGTTGTAAGAACGTTCTGTAAAAATTAAACCGTTAAAAAATTAAACCGAGTAGTCCGGTAAAGTGTGGACTAACTCGAGTTTTGTTGAAAATTTTTCAAATAAACGCTACAAATTTAAGAACAAACACAATTTTAAGTTATTAATTGTTTTAATAAATCATGTTTTATGCGGATTTTAGTATTTTTTCTTATAATCTTTTAAAATTACTGCTAGATACAGAGTGCGCCAGAATTTGCGCCTCAGAGAAAAATGCCATGTAAAATAAGATACCAGGAACATGGAAAAAATGTAAAAAATATTATATCTATACAAATTTCGAAGTTATGAGATTAAATTTTGCACTTTGACTCTATTTATTTCTGTTGGAAAAAAAAAATCAATTTTTTTTGCTACAGGCCATTAGAAGAGGAAACAAGGAAGCTGTGTCCTAAATTGTAACTCTGTTTAATGTTATTTTTTTACCTTTATAAATAATTATAAAAACACAAATACAAGATTATCAGTATCATTAAATAGACAAAAAGATGTCAAATGATAAAAAATTAATGTCAAAAATTTTTGGTACACATAGAATCTTTTAAACATGTTTTCCATGTTCCTGGTATCTTATCTTACTTGAAATTTTTCTTCTGACACACCCTGTATAATTAGTTTTGATAACCGTAAATACGATCAAAGCATTGAACAAAAGTGATTGTAAATTTGTTAAAAGTTGTTTTTTCTTATGAAAGATTAACCAAAGATTCGGCTAGGATAAACAGTTGAAGAATCCATCAAAATTTACCCAGAAAAATTAAACGTTTTGAAACAATTTTATAATTTTTAAACTCTATAAAAGAGACAGCTTCAAGTGTTGATTAAAATAAACCGCTTTTACTTAGTTCTAGCAGTTTTTCTTATAATTAAGAAATCGCAGTTAGATATTGTCAGTGGCGACGACCAAAAAGATTTGTATGCAATTTGTAGAAAAATTACATTTTCGTATAAAAAACCAGACAAGGAATCTGAATCTGTAAAGATCTGTAAAAAAATGAGTTGAGAATACGGGGATAATTAGCTTAGAAGAAATCGGAAAATCGGAAAAATCTTGCAAGAGTATTTTTATTAAACCACGAGTTTTGAAAACATTTCTCATATAAAATAAACAGAGATACTTACAAATTTGTATAAAAATTTGTTGCAAAAATTATACCGTTCCGGTAAAGTCCCTACTAAATTTTGGCAAAAAAAAAATAAAAAAACAATAAAAAAAATTGAAAAACGGTGATTTTATGGCACGGACAAATTCAGTTTCGACAAATTTATGTTTAAATTTTAATATATATTTTTTTAAGGAAATTTATCTAAAAAGACGAACTTGTAAAAAAATTGTCTGGGATAAATAGATTCCGCGAAATAGGTCAGAAAAATTGGAGATATGAATGAATTTATTTGAGTAAAACTACCTGAAAAAATGGCTCGGCAGGATCCAGTCCTGTGATTCGTCCCAGTTTGGGAACAAGAGAGCCGGCGTATCCAGCAGTGTGGGCCCCCAAAGAGTGCCCAATGATGTGGAAGTCGCTGGCATCAATGTCATATTTGTTCTACAATTTCACATTATTTTTCTACCGACTTTTTGTGGGTAAATTACCATTAAAAACTTGATTAAATGGGCAATTTCCATGCCTACTAGCCGCGTATTGGCTGTGGCTTGTGTGTATAGGGGTAAACTACCCCCCGCCCAATCCACCACAATCACATTCATATCACCTGCTTTGATCAGTTCATCTTTCATATCTCTCACCTGAAATAAATCCAAATCGGGTAAGATAAACGAAATTTGGGTAAATTGATGATTTGTACCCAATTTGATAAAGGAGTGTCGATAAATCCGTGAACTATAAATTTTGTACTTTTGTTCGGGTTGAAATTTGATTCTTCAATGGTGCTCTCGTCTTCGACTTTCAGGTAAGTCCCCTAGAATTGACCAAATTAAAAATTGTAAAGAAGTGAAAGGTGGGTGCATCGTTTGAGAAAAGTAGGAAGTGAATTTTTTATGACATTTGATAAATAATATTTGAACTTTTGAATACTAAGACCACGTTAATTAATTCGTTCGTAGAGAGTTATTATTAAATTCTTACAAAGTAATTACTGTGACAAAGCTAAAATTGTGTAAGTTTTATCGGAGGAAAGTACTTAATTACCTATGCATCATTTTGAAATTTTTATTAGATATGAATTGAATTGCATGGTTGGTGTTTGTGTACAAATTATCGCTGGAATTCAAGGTTTTTTGATGGCCTTTTTCTAATTACATGTTTCTTCAGATTCACGTAATTAGCGAGTACATTAGAAAAATTATTAAATTACTGAAGCTAAGTAATTAAATAATAACAAATGTGACACGCAGTATTGTTCGCTGAGTAATGCTTTTTAATTCATTTCATTTCAAATGACACGACAAAAATAATTATAAAAAATTCTTCTAAAACTCTACTCCTAAAAGAAAATCAAATTCTATCTTAAAATTTGCACGAAAACCGTAAAAGGATGTAATCATTTTTTTGGTGAAAGTTCATTAAACTTAAATTGATAAATTTTGCAAATTCAATTTCGTATTTCCATTTATTTTGTTAAAAATAAATAAATTTAAAGACTTGAAAATAACAACAATAGTACATTAGACAGACTGGAAAAATGAAATTAGGTATAAGAGATCTAAGTTTGGTTAAATGTCAAAAAAGTTGCAGAATAAATAGTAAAAACTTTACAGTAGTTTCAAAAATATCAGAAAACAACTGAAAATTTACCTATGTATTTTTGATGATAACTTTGTTTTTTCCTTATCAATCGATAAATAATGACGAATAATGAAGATAAGCCAAAATAATAAAAACAAAGTTGTAGTAAAACTGAAAACGCAAATTGTAGTGTTTTTTATAAGTCTGAAACTGCTTAAGATAGAGTTTCGAAAAGGTAACATTTTTGATTAAAATAATTAAATTATATGTCTAATCTCAATATAAACATAAAAACCTTGAACACAGAGAAATGATCAGTACAACAGGTTTTTTTAAGTCTCAATGTTGCTTCAAATTATTTTTATTTTTGACATGTGTATATTCAAAATTTTATTTTATTTTATTTTATGGACAGTAAATTAATTAAATAATTTTTGTTTCAATAAAAATAAGAAGCAACAGAGTACTTAGTAGTGAAAGCACTGAGTTTTAGAAGAAACTTGAAATGAAAGATTTAACTAAGTACATTAAAATTGGAAATTATATGTTTCAGTCAGGTACTGAAAGTTTAAATTAACGACTTAAATGTAAACAAGAAAATGTAATGTACACTTAATTTTAGTATAGCTATAAAAAGAAAAAAAATCAAAGACATAAAGTAAATTCAAGACAAGTTCATTCACTTGACACACAGGAAGAAAATTCTTAAGGTATTAATAATTGTAGATGAGAAAGCGACTATATTAGGTTACTCTTCAAGCAAAGGTAACATAAAACTGACTTTTAAGCCCAGCGGTTAATAACTGTGTTATTAGAAGAAATAACTTTCGAAAAATCAACCAGTGTTGAAAAACCTAAAATTTTAGTACAAAAACCATTTTCGACCACATTTTTCGGCTAAATTTTGCCCTAATTTTGCTCAAAATCGAGTGAAATAAACAAAATAACATCAATGTTAACTCTTTTTGTAATGTTTAGATGTTTAGACTAAATTTTGCAAAATAAATGAGCCAACAAATATGTAATATTAATTTCGATTTAATATTGTAATTTGTTTATCTCAAATACGTGCTTCAACTTCAAAAAAGCAAAAATAACGCCATTTTCTTGAATTTTTGGCTTGTTGTTAGTGAAATGGTACAAAAGTGTTGTACATTTTTATTTTTATATAGTAAAAAACAAATAGAACCATTTTTTAAAATAATTTGGTGGTTTTTCATTTTTTTTTTTTTGAGAATATTTGGCGAAATAATCAAGTTTCTGTCAGAAAAATGTGGCAAATGGCCGAAAAACATGCAAAAATAGTGTCATTCAGGTATTATTGACCTAATTTACTGTATCCATAATTAAAAATAAGTTGTTTTTTTCATTTCAAAAAAATCACCAGATACTAGAATCTTTACCAAATTTTCATCAAATAATCAGACTGGTAAAAAAAATATTTTAATTGAATTTTAGACATTTTTTTCGTAACATAAAGAAGTAAAGAATGAAATTCTGAAATTGAGAAACTTTATACAAATTAATTTTTATTTATTTAGAAAAAAAAAAAAACAACATGTAACAAACACCAAACAAGAAACAAAATATTTCATGTTTATCTGCCTGAAATATAATCTCTGAACAATTGGGCCGACACCTTGAATTTAAATTAGCGCCACTATATACAAAACACTAAAATTGTAAGTACATTTTAATTGGAGAAAAAAAAAGGAGAAAACAAAAAAAAAGAAAAGAAAAAATATCATAATAGAAACATTCACATTACAAAATTCACAGAGATACAGGATGTTTCACATAACTTTACGAGGCTTGCGCCTAATGTACGCACCCAAATATACAAAAGTCACAGAACACTGGATACAAAAAATACACATTTAATTATTTAATTTTTGGAAACCCATGACAGTAGACTAATCACTGTTTCATTAATAGTCATAAACTGCAATGTTTCAGAAACAATTATCATTTGTTCTATTAAGAGACAGCATGAATATGATTGTAGTTTATCTATCTTAATCACTAACTAACTAAAAACGTTGTAATTTTCGAAAGGGTGAACAAACTAGAGAAGATTATCCAATTTTTCAAAATTTGTAATCGAGTTCGTATCGGATATTGGTATTTTTATTTTTAAAATGCATACAAACTTAAGTTTTGCAGTTTTGTTCCCAAACAGTTTTTCACTTCTTACGGTAATAAAATAATAAAAACAAACCTCATTTGGATTGAAGCGTGTGTAGAGTATAAACCTCGTATTGATGACATTTCTGGGCAATGGAAAGAGGTTGATGGGTCTGAGTATCAGATGGTACCAACTTCTTGTGATATTCAAGCAGCCCAAGTCATCATAACACCTGGTCTCATTCTCGACTGTAAACACTCTTCGTCGAAAAGAAATCTCTTTGAGTGGAAATACTCACAAGGCAACCAGGGCAAATTGACTTCGATTTTATCGGACCTTGCCCAGTCCAGGATGCCGGAATGGGCCACTCGCGACACGACCAGTACCACTCCGAGGGCTTGCAGACACCTCAGTACCATCTTCACGGTACTAACCGTTTCTTCGGCGGTTGTAGCCTTTGCATGGATCCGGAGTTGGCGGCACTCAAGACACTGAATCTGAAAGAGGCAATGAGTGATCTTGAACTAGGATGGGGGGCGTAGCATGGGGGGGCCATGGCGGCACGCGACTATAACCTTTCTCGAGTATTCGACAATTACACAAGATAAAAGCATTCGATTATGTAAGAAAGAAATTCAGTGAAAAGCTTTCACTAACACAGTTAACATCGAACCACAAAAAATGTTCCAATTTTGAAAGGTTGATGGAAATGTTTGCATTTTTAATTTATTGTCTTGTTTGTTTCCATGGGATTTTTCCGATCATGAGGAGAGAGTGATGGGTTTGACCACAACATTTTTTGAAAAAAAATTCCTTTGGTGGGTCAGGATTAGATAATTGATGATTCAGTTTGGTTCTTAGTCATGCTTTGCTGTAATCGCAAGCATGCGGAAGGGTTTATCAATATGGGTTGTTGTGGGTCAAGATTGTTTACAAATGAGTTCTTTCGGTAAATGTGTCATTTCCATAATTTATCATCTCGTAAATTAATTTCGGATGAGTTTTTTTGAGCAATTTTTATGACTTTTAATGAAATGGAATTTAGTTTCGAAAAATGGCCTAATGCCAAAGAGCTAGATTTTTTTATGTTTTTAAAATTTGCTTTCAATTTCTGCAGACTATTACGATTGTTAAAGTTTTGGTGGATATTTAAGTTTAGAAAAATTACAAAAAGAAATTTTGTACATTGTAATACATTGAAAATACATTACCAGAAATCCAAAATTTTAGAGAGAGAATTAGTAAATGTTTGAAAACAAAATATACAAATTTTTATGTTTTTACCGAAAAATCATTTTTTCTTAATTTTTGTTTTAAAATTTTATTTATGAATTCTATTTAAATAGTTGTAACTCTTAAATCACAAACTTGATCGAAAAAAATACATATAGCAAGTTGCCATTAAAAAAAATGCAAAACTCAAGTAAAAAATTCCAAAATTTGATAGTTAAACACCATTTTTTTATTAGGTACTCGTACTTTATCACTCACAAAAAATAAAAAACGCTTAGTTCCATATTATTTATTTCCTTTCTATGTATATTTTAAAACTTTATTCATCATATTTTATCGATTTTACGAACAAAATCTAATTATAAATGTGTATAATTTGAAATATTTGTTTTGATAGTTTAATTATAAGTGTTATGACACTTAACTGTTACTTTCTAAATGAACTTCAAATTTCACCTTGACCATACAGATGATTTTGAAATAGACAGTGGTGTTGCAATATAAAATTAATTTATTATACGTATATTTACACGCATTATTTTTAACGAAAAAACTGATTTAATGTAATTTTTGTTGTTTACGAGAATCGAAGAGATTATTATTATTTATTACCTAGCTAGTTGCAAATAGTTTGCATATCTACACTGAAAAACTTTTTTTAGAAGTAGCCTATTTAAAAAAAAAAAAAACAAAAAATATATTTCAGTAAATTCAGTAAATTCAGTTTCTTTATATACTAGAATAAAAATAATGCACTTATACGCATCAAGCTCAAAATGTAATACACTACTTCAAAAAATTAAAGAAATAAAAAAATTTACCACATTTTTTTGGTGATTTTTGAAAGGTATCTCATCGAAAAATGGTCGTAACTAGATTAAAAAAAAACATTTTGAAGCTTTAAGTTTCTAGTTTTGAGATCTTTTGGAAAAAAATTTTCTTTATAAAAATACAAACAAAAAAATGACAATAAAAAATTAATAATAAATATTAAAACTTTTGAAATCACACTTTGTAAAGTAAGGTATTCGCCTTCATGGGTACAGAGTAAAATCTATTTTCAATTTGTAAATGCGAATAAACTTTATAATTAAAAATTAAAGAAAACAAAAATTTACGTTTTAAATTAAGTAAACTATACTAACAATTAGCATAATTTGTTTACTTTTGATTTAAATTCATTTCCTGGGTTTTGAAGTTCACTGTTGAGTACTCTTCCTTTTGTTTGTTTAAATAAGCATAGACACATTATTATCTAAATACGATATAATGTGTAAAAATAAATAATACCATAATGTGTGTGCATAATTCTTTAAAAAATCAGTTAGCAATTTACATAATTCTCTTAATTGGTCAAGCGATTACAATTAAATGAAAGTCGTAATAAATGATGAAGTATAAAATGAACAAAATTTGCGTAAGTTTCACTTCAATAGGAAAAATAAGAAGAAGTATAAACTAATGCTACGTATTACAACACTCACTCACCTGAACCCTTATTTACTTGTTACTATTATATTGTGAGCGGCAAAATTATGGAATAATCTTATTAAAACTGAAAATATTTTGTTTTGACAAAAATGCTGTCTATTTTTAAAAATACACAATTTTCAACTTAATGGTTTTTGAGTAATGACGTCATCGACATTTTTTTTTAATGGACACTTCTTTTTACCAAATTCGATACATCTTTAATTGTCGAAATGACAACATCAAAATAATTAAATAAGTATTACCTAATGTTTTCGAAACAAAAATCATTCAAAAAGTGAAATATTATCAACAAAAAATAAACGTACAATTTTAAATCAAGTTAAGAATTTAGTATTTTTTAAAAGAAAATTGAGCTGTTCGAGCATTTTTGTCAAAACAAATTATTTTCAGATTTAATAAATAAAATTATTTCATAATTTTGCAGCACACTATATAGTAGAAGTGCTAATGACCAGTTACCTGAAAAATTCAGTTAAGAATCCTTTAAATGCAATTTTGTGTTCTCAATTTTAATTTCGCTGATTATTTTATTTAGTCCGGTCAAATTAGTCATAAAAATAGTGGTCAAATAACGAAAATTCCGACAGAGCTAAATTTTGGTGGAGACCTTGGGTATACCATTAGAAATAAAGTGTCAAAAGTCCCCATCGATCCCATGTGTGCTAAAAAAGTTATTCGGGGTCAAAGGTCAA